CATTGTATCATTAATTCATTAGCAACTTGTTCACATGCTAATTTTTTTCTTTTGTACTGACTTGTATATAAAGAAATTCATTCGGCTGGGCGCAGTGGCTCACGCCCGAAATCCCAGCACTTTGGGAGGCCGAGGCGGGCGGATCACAAGGTCAGGAGTTTGAGACCAGCCCGGCCAATATGGTGAAACCCCGTCTCTACTAAAAATACAAAAATTAGTCGGGCGTGGTGGTGGCACCTGTAATCCCAGCTACTCGGGAGGCTGAGGCAGGAGAATTGCTTGAACCCGGGAGGCGGAGCTTGCAGTGAGCAGAGATCGTGCCACTGCACTCCAACCTGGGCAACAGAGTAACTTCGTTTAAAAAAAAAATCACTCTACTGGAGTTATAAACTGTCCAAATGAAATTGGTCATTAACAGTTGACTGGCAGAAGTAGGATATATGCGAAACACAAGTAGTTTCTTTCTACTTTCGGTAAACACCGGTATTTGCTAAGGATTAATCTGGAACCAAATGAAAGGAGGGACCTACGGTGTTTTTTTCACACAAGTGAGCAGCCATACTGTGGTTAAAATGAAGGGATTGTCAAGGCCACGTGTGCTACCTGCACGCAGGAAAAGGCTGAGCGTCACAGCCATTGGTGGAACCAGGTCTCATCAAGGACTCCTTAAGTGCACTGCACTAGAGTTAGATGACTAGAAATTGCGTAAGTAATATTTAAAATGCGTAGAGGTTACCACCTAAAGAAAACAGTAATTTGGAAAAGCGACAATCCTTTGTCCGGAATCCAACAAACCCAATTTTCTGAACAGATCAGGGTTTTGTCTGCATGGACTGTTTTCTGCATTATACGGCTATGAGCCAATCCCATCTTCAGCAACGGCCCGTCTGCAGTTTGTTCTCCTCTCACTCACTGCTGTCCTAGACAGACCACACTTACTTCACCGAGGGCATCAGTAACGAGTCAGGCACCAGTCACTGGCACACCGGGCTTTTGGATCATTAGTGTTTTTTCCTGAGGGCCTGAAATTCTGATGTGCTCATTCTCGCAGTCATTCCTGCTTTAGACACAAACTTCTTCTGTAAACAGGCTCTTGGGATCCATCATTCTGCCTTTAAAATTTGTTTCAGGGTGACAGGCTCCTATGCAACCGGCTAAGCACGTGGGTCCTCACAGTACTGATGAAGTGGGGGTGGGGGTGGGGCTGGGCCCTTCATGGCTTTCAGCATCAGAAACCCTTTTCTGCTTGCTGCCTCTTGTTCCTGTAGGTCTAGGGTGGCAAAGAAATACACAACTGTCATGGGAAAAAATGAAAATAGCCCCAAAGTCCTTCCAGCAGTGAATGCAGTCTGTGGTGCATCCACACAACGGAACACTGCTCGGCAGCGAAAACCATGCATTCCTCTCCAATGCGTTTTGCTAAGCCACACCCCAAATGCTACACTATACTCCACATGACATTCTGGGAAAGGCAAAACTGTAGGCACTGGAAACAGATTGGCGGTTGTCACAGATTGGGGCTGCGAGGTCTGGACTACACAGGGAAAAGCATCCGAGAATTTCTTTGGGACAGTGAACTGTTTCGTATTCTTGATTGTGGCGGTGGTTACACGACTCTATGCATGCGTCAAAACCTAGAATGATACACCCAAAAAAGTGAACTTTACTGCAGACAAATTAAAAAATAAAGATAGAAGACAGCAGCTTCCCCTGCCCGTGGTGGGAGACCAGGCGGAAGCTGAGGTCACCTGGGGGGGCCGGTCATGCTGTATGTACCGAGCTTCGTGATTGTTACACAGGTGATGTTTCTCTGTAAAGAAGTACTTTTTTATTTAATTAATTTTTTTGAGACGGACTACAGGTGCCCGCCATCATGCCTGGTTACTTTTTTTTTGTATTTTTTAGTAGAGACGGGGTTCCACCGTGTTAGCCAGGATGGTCTCGATCTCCTGACCTTGTGATCCGCCTGCCTCGGCCTCCCAAAGTGCTGGGATTACAGGCGTGAGCCACCGCGCCCGGCCTATCCGTAAAGACGTATTAAGGTATTACACTTATGTGTATCTATACATTTACATAGATATGTTATACTTCAATAAAAAAGCTACCTGATCACCATTTCTGTTCATCACACTGTTTAGTAGACTAGGATTTCCTGTTCTGCCAGCTCTCAGGTAACCCTATTTGGGTGAAGTGGAGAAAGGGCCAGTGGTGGAAAGTTAGTTAAGTAGTGACTATTTCTAGTCAAATTAAAGACAAAATATTTTATCCGGGTGATTTAAGTAATACTTTTCACACTATTATTTCAGACCTGTTTTGAGACTCTCCACAACTAATGTTGTGGGTCTGCCACCCACCATAACCACAACCCTTCGTATGAGGAAGAACAGAAGTGTGAAGTATCAGATGATATACATACACTTTTTTTTTTTTTTTTTTTTGAGATAGAGTCTTGCTCTGTCGCCCAGGCTGGAGTGCAGTGGCGTCATCTGGGCTCATTGCAAGCTCCGCCTCCCGTGTTCATGCCATTCTCTTGCCTCAGCCTCCTGAGTAGCTGGTACTACAGGCGCCTGCCACCATGCCCGGCTAATTTTCTTTTCATATTTTTGGTACAGACGGGGTTTCACCGTGTTAGCCAGGTTGGTCTCGATCTCCTGACCTCGTGATCCACCCACCTCGGCCTCCCAAAGTGCTGGGATTACAGGCCTGAGCCACCGCGTCCAGCCAACTGTGTTTTGTATACATCACTTTAGCCCTTAAAACAATCCTGCAAGGTAGTCATTCAAATCCCATTTAAAACACGGCAAAATTAAGGGTCAGGTTAATCTCCACAAGAGAAGCTGGAAGAATTCTAAGCCTCTGATTCCAAAGGAAAAGGGAATTAGCTTTTAGAGTGTTCTATGTGCTAGTTCCCTTTATCTGTAATCTTACTGATCCTCAATAGATCTCCATTTTACAGATAAGTAAACAGTAAGAGGGATTATGTGACTTGCCCAAAGTTACATAAGTGGCAGAGTGGCATTCAAATCAAGCTGATTCCACAGCCCACATTCTTCACATCAGAGGGCACTGCTGCCAAAGTCAGTGAGAGGTATACTGTGCAATTCTGGAGGGAGACAAATGGAATCTTAAATATCAGACTTAACTACCAAATGCTCTACACTAGGGTCGGGAAAGTGACACCTATGTTTTTCCTTGATATCTTTAAAACGCAACTTCTTCATTGTAATATCATAAATGTACCAATATTTAACAGCAGAAATTCAAACCTTCAGGGATTGAATAAACCACAAAATCCAGCTCTTAGAATGGGAGGAAAAGGAATTTGTATGGTAGGAAAACTATTTTCTAGGAGTCAGGAGTTAAAAGTTCTAATTCTGGCTCTGTCCCTGATTTGCAGTGTAACTTTGTTAAGACATAGGGATCTTTAGGCTTCTATTTTATCACATGTAAATTAAGAGTATTCAAGGCAGAGAATCTTAGAAGGTAACTGCTCTAATACATTAGAAAACAATTTTTACTAATTACTAAAATTCCTTAATTGCCATCTTTGGAGTTTAAACACTAGTGTTTAGCAAGTATTTGTTAACCAGAGTGTATTTTGCTGGAATGAGCTCTGCAGGCTTGCTTCCATTATTATTATTTGTTTTTGAGATGGAGTTTCGCTCGTTGCCCAGGCTGGAATGCAATGGTGCGATCTCGGCTCACTGCAACCTCTGCCTCCCGGGTTCAAGCGATTCTCCGGCCTCAGCCTCCCGAGTAGCTGGAATTACAGGCATGCGTCACCACGCCTGGCTAATTTTTTATTTTTAGTAGAGACAGGGTTTCTCCATGTTGGTCACGCTGGTCTCGAACTCCTGACCTCAGGTGACACGTCTGCCTCGGCCTCCCAAAGTGCTGGGATTACAGGCGTGAGCTGCCGCGCCCGGCCTGCTTGCTTCCATTATTTATTGAAGAGCCCCAGGTAGTCACAGAACAGGAAAGCACCCAGATACAGCCAAATCCAAGAGGCACTTTTCTTTTTGCCAACTTAAGGATATGAAGAGGCATATTAAAAAAGCCTTTCAAAACATTTGAAACTGTATTATTCTCTGTGCATTACAATAATGGACTCTTTTCTTACAAACATTGTTTCAATTCTGGTTTTAAAGGATTATTTCTTGGCATGTCACCGTGGCGGGGCGAGGCTGCCTTGTTTCCCACAAACAGTCTTTTCAGCTTTGACGGGAGTGACTTGTTCTATGGGTCTGTCCTTACTACTTGTATGACTTTGGGCAAGGATTTTCATCTAAGAGTCTTTCCTTATTTGTAAAGGACTGCTAAACTAATAATTTAAGTTACAGTTCTTTACACAGTACGGGGCAAAAAATGAGGCAGCCAAGTGTATTGGAAAGAATGTAGACTTGGGGCAGAGAGGCTTGGATCCAAATACTAAGCACTGCCACTTACTAGCTAAGTCATCTTGGGCAAGTGATTTAATGTAAACCTTATAGTGGGGCGAGTAACACCACCTTCTCTTTTTTTTTTTTTAAATTAAGAGGTATGGGCCGGGTGCAGTGGCTCATGCCTGTAAGCACTTTGGGAGGCCGAGGGGGTGGATCACTAGGTCAGGAGTTCAAGACCAGCCTGATCAAGATGCTGAAACCCCGTCTCTACTAAATATACAAAAATTAGCCGGGTGTGGTGGTGGGCGCCTGTAATCCCAGCTAGTTCGGAGGCTGAGGCAGGAGAATCGCTTAAACTCGGGTGCCAGAGGTTGCAGTGAGCCAAGATCAAGCCAGTGCACTCCAGCTTGGGTGACAGAGCAAGACTTCGTCTCAAAACAAACAAACAAACAAAAAACCACAAAAAAACAAAAACAAAAAAAAACAAAAAAGAGGTATGATACTAAAGTAGCTATTGCATAATACTCAGCAATTAGTAATCTCATTATTGATAATCCTGTACAAGCTAGAAAGCTGCACAATCATATATTCTTACAAAAAAATCACTTAACAAGGACATCCAGAAAACAATGTTATGTAGATTTTAATACATAAATGGCATCCTTTTATAACCCACTTGATATTTTACAACATGTGACTATTTGGTTAAATACTTCAAAACAGCTTATGCTGGGGTCTTGTAAGGCAATTTCTGAAGCTCTTGAGATTTTACAATAGTTTTCTTCTAGTATATTTCTATTTTGTTAACAACCTACAATATTTAGTGTAACAGCAATACTGTGTGTATTTCAATGTGTTAACATACTCTGTTGCCTAATGGCTCTTGAATTCAGTTATAAATTACATGATGCCTCAAATTGTTTCAAGAAAATGTTAGCTTGCAAAATATTTTTTTCTTTCAAAATTCAAGACACATTTAACATATGGATTTTACAATACAGTTTATTAGCTGTTCTCCTCTTCTCCATAAATGGAATGGATAATGTTGATAATTCTTTACAAACCAGTACTCATTTCTTTAAGAAACTGTAATGAGGAGGTTGTCAAAAACACATATTTAATAAACAACTCCAAAGAGCAATGGGAAGCCAAATATTTTTAATATAAAGGACCAGAGAAACTGATTTCTGAAATAATTTCTACCTTTCACTAAAATTTCTTAAAATTGCTCACCATGAAGATTTGTGCAATTCTAGTGCAGAGCAGTGGACGAAAGCTGTCTGAGGGAAACACACACATAAATGGGGCTTTTGCCTGCCTTCCTATTAATAAAAGGAGAACTAGAAGGAAAGGGCAAGGACCAAAATCAAACCTGATGACAAGAACAACAATAACAACAACAAGAACAACAACAAAACCCCAGGAACCATTTGAAAACTTTGTAGAAAAGAGGAGAATACGCCCACACTTTTACTTGTAATCTAATTTCCCTAAATGTTTCTCCTCATGATCACCATGCCCCATTTTCAGTTCACAGGATTAAGGAAGGTAAAGTCTATTCAATTAATATTTAATTTAAAACCAAACAAGAAGTTAGGAGCAGGTGGCAAAAGAAACAAAACATATTTTAAATATATATATATATATGTTTGTGTGTGTGCGCAACTATGTAAAGAAAATAATTCCCATAGTTACAGAGTTTAAAGAAAGTTTTATATATATATTTATATATATTTTATTATAACAAAATAGGCAGCTATTGTGGGTAAAATATTCAGTAAAATCTGACTCCTAAGAATACATTTTTAAGTTTTAGGCTATGAACTGGACTCCTTTCCATTGCCATTATGGTTTCTACATCACCACTGTAATGTCTGATTTATCTGTATTTATATCTAGGAAATTTTCTCAACCTTCTGTGTAAAAGGCGAACTTCCTTAGCACCTGAACATGGCCTTGATTCACAGAATGTGATGATCATTTACATATGAACAACTTTTGTAAGACACGATAGTGTTGCTCAAGTAGATTAAAAACATTTAAACGTTGTTATTCCTAGCAAATGTACTGGGAAAAAATAACCTTCAAATAATAAAAGACTCTAAGAATACTTACAAAAAATGAAATCCCTTATGAAAGTTAACTCAGACATGAATTTTTAAATTAAAACATGTCTTCCTTATTTATCTATAATGAAACAATTGCTTTGATGATAGAAGCTGACTGAGAACAGGACTTGAGAGTAACACACTGGCCAAACCATGCTATTAAACTTAAGCGTGCATAGTTGCTCAAAGTCTACTAAATCACTGATTAAAACCACTTTTTCATTTGTACTGAAATTTGAAAAGAATGTATATAAAGCTTTTCCAAAAATCTCTTAAAGTTACTTTCCCTTAAACATTAAGGAATTTTACCACAATTTCTGCGTCTCCCCAAATTCTTAATAGCTGGTCAGGCCATTCCATCTTCAGTTGTGAAAAATGGCCACTAACCAATAGTGACATTAAATAATACACATGATGTAACTTGAAGGAGACACTACATGTAAAAAAATAAGCGCACCTGCAGACCATGATGTGGGATATAATTCAACATGAAATCATTATTGAAAAAAGACTCCAGAGGAAAGGGCAAAGAGATGTCAAAGAAAATGGAATTGTGGAAAAGAGAAATAGAGAAACATGAGTTTTCATAACTTTTCTTTTGCTGGAACCCAGATGTAAGAACCAGACTGTTCTTCTATGATCTGTTTCACTTGGTTGTAAATGTCTTCCAGCGTATCTCCCTGTACAATAGCTGTAATGATAGAAACAAAAGCAGAAATCTCCATTAATTGTCTATTTTGTCATTATAATTATTGGTGAAATAGCAGAAACTAATATCTTTGAGAAAGTTACTCATCCAGGAAGAATCACCGTTTACGCACTGTTCACTTAGAAAAAACGGCTCACTTCATTAATTTTCCTACTTGTAGAGTATAAAATTTTTATCTTAAAAATGGATCAAAAAGTAAGATTTGGTGATCTTTTGTTCTTTTACCATCTGAGCATATATTAGCTTTATTATTTTAAAACAAATTATTTTCTTAACTGTCCTGATTTCTCCATCACCATGTAGGACAAAGGAAACTGGCTACAATCCCACAGACAGGATGATGCAGGATCATGTTTTGTTTTATTTTTTTGGGGTAGGATCGTGGCAGAAAAGAGCTGGCTACAGATTGATGCTACTTGTTTCAGTTAAGCTGGCATGTCAGTTACTGTAGAGTAGGTGAATTATCTAAGCCAGCTTGTTAGTGTTTAGAGACTTAACAATCAATGTTTATTTGCTGCCTGAAATAATGTGTGAAAAAAAGAGTAACAATTACTAATAAGTAATTCTTTGGAAATAGCTGAAGCCCCTGAGGTCTGTGAGGGATGAGGGTCAGTTAATAAAGCAAGCAAACAAACAAACAAAAACAAAGCATCGCTAGACGGCACTAAGCATGAGTCACTTTTTAAGAGGAAAGAAAATGTTTATGGCTGGGCATGGTGGCTCATGCCTGCAATCCCAGCACTTTGGGAGGCTGAAGTGGAGGGTTGCTTGAGGCTAGGAGTTTGAGATCAGCCTGGGGAACATAGTGAGACACTGTGTCCAAAAAAAAAAAAAAAAAAATTAGCCGGGCATGGTGGTGTGTGCCTGTGGTCCTGGCTACGTGGGAGGCTGAGAGCAGGATGATTTCTCGAGCCCAGAGTTCACATTTGCAGTGAGCTATTATCGTACCATTGGATCATACCATTTGCCTGGGTGACAAAGTGAAACCCTGTTTCTCACAAAAGAAGTTTACATATAAATGAAATAATTCAGAATTGCAAATTAAATAAGTCACTTATTAAACTACAAAAAAATCCCCAGTGATCTTGGAAGAGCATCATAGGTGTAGATTTCCATGGTCTGAAAAACTGAGCATAAAATGTCGAAGGGAGATTTTAAATAATACTGTCTATTTGGTACCCGAGATTATGTGCATAGAAGAAAGAAGTTATATATAGGTAAGAAGGGCTTATACGTAGCTAGGAATGCCTGAGTAAACAAGAATTTTAAGTAACATAATATTCGCTAGTATCAGTTTTGTGAGACTTCTACCTTTTGAGCTAAATACAGACATGCCTCAGTGTCCCTGAAGACTCAGTTCAATTGACAAAATACTTGGTTTGTGGGTTTGGCATCTTGATGCACTCCAACAGCACAGGACAGAATCCCAGAGCATTTCATAGTTTAGGTTGACAACAGCACGCAAGGATTTATTTTAGGAGAAAAGAGTCAGGAATTGACTTGGGAAATATACATTTTGCTTACTTTGTAAATTCATGAATGGCATGGTTAGTAAACCAAGATACACCTTGGGAAGAAACTGGGAGAGCATAAGGCTGCAGACACCTTAACCATGTGATTAAAATTAGCATCACAAGTAACGGCACAAGCAGACTGTAAACCTCCTTGTATGACACACAGAGGATACATCATTACTTCACTGCTATTCCTGCCCCAAATGCATATTCCTGCCCCAAATGCATATTCCTGCCCCAAATGCATAACCTAAATCTAATGATGAGAAAACGTCAGATAAATCCAAATTGAGGGAGGGACATTTTATAAAAGAATGGGTCTCTGGCCAGGTGCAGTGGCTCATGCCTGTAATCCCACCACTACGGGAGGTCAAGGTGAAGGTGGGCGGATCGGAGGAGTTACAGACCAGCCTGGGCAACATGGCGAAATCCTGTCTCTACAAAAAATACAAAAATTAGCTGGGCATGTTGGCTGCAGCCTGTAGTCCCAGCTCCTTGGGAGGCTGAGGCAGGAGGATCACTTGAGCCTGGGAGGTGGAGGCTCCAGTGAACTGAGATTGCACCACTGCACTCCAGCCTGGGCGACAGAGTGAGACCCTGGCTCAAAAAACAAAACAAAACAAACGAAACAGAAAAAACAACAAAAAAACACCCCTAGTTTTTACTCTTAAAAAATGTCAGTCAAGGTCATGAATGACAAGACTTGGGAACTATTTCAGATTAAAGAACGTTAAAGATGTGATAATATTTCAGATTAAAGAACGTTAAAGATGTGATAATATTTCAGATTAAAGAACGTTAAAGATGTGATAATATTTCAGATTAAAGAACGTTAACGATGTGATAATTCACTGTAACACGTGAGCCTGGACTGCATCTTGCACCGGAACAGAAAAGCCATTTTTTCCCCATTTTGCTCTAAAGAGATTAGAAGAATAGTGAAATAATAATAAGATCTATAGTTAGATGAGACATAATTATTAAATTTCCTGATTTTGGTAATAAAACTATGATTATATAAGGGCATATCCCTGTTTTTTGGAAAATACACACTGAAATATTTAGAAGTAAAGGGGCATCTACCTGAAACTTACCCTCAAGTGTTTCAGAAAAAATTATAAATGTGGTAAAATGTTAACACTTGAGGAATTTCGGTGAAGGGTACATGAGACTCCCTGTACTATTCTTCTAACTTCTATTTAAGTCTGAAATTAGTTTGAAAAAAATAAGAAAGCACAAGGCTTACAAAAACCATGACCCTTACTGATACTCACTGTCAATGTCAAATTTAGGCTGATATTATTTCAAACAAACAAGTAACAACAACAAAAATGTCCAAAGACTTGAGGAGTCAGTTAAAGGACAAACTGAGTAAGAAAAGAATATTGGGGAATTGCTACCTCCTCTTTTTTTTTTTAAACAAATAGTATTTCAAAACGGATCAAAGGGCAACTAATCTTTGACAAGGGGCCAAGAACACACAATAGGGAAAGGCTAGTGTTTTAAATACATGGTGTTGGAAAATCTGGATATCCACATGCAAGAGAATGAAATTAAACCCTTATCTTATACAAAATTAACTTGAAATAGATTAAATACTTAAATGTAAAACCAGAAACCATAAAACTCCTAGAAGAAAACAGGGAAAAAAGCTCCTTCACACTGGTCTTGGATGATTTTTTGGAAAGTACAAGCAGCAAAATAAAAAAATCATCAAGTGGGACATCAGATAAAAAATCTACACAGCAAAGGAACAATCAACAAAATGAAAAGGCAACCTATGGAAGAGGAGAAAATATTTCTAAACCATGCAGTTGATAAGGGGTTAATATCCAAAATATATAAGAAACTCATTAGCAAAATACCAAACAATCCATTTTAAAAACGGGCAAAGGACTGGAATAGATATTTATCCAAAGAAGACATACAGATGGCCAACAGGTATCAGTAAAAGTGCTCAACCTCTTTAGTCATCAGAGGAATAGAAATGAAAATCATGAGGCCGGGCGCAGCGGCTCACGCCTGCCATCCTAACACTTTGGGAGGCTGAGGTGGGCGGATACTTGAGGCCAGGAGTTCGAGACCAGCCTGACCAACATGGCAAAACCCTGTCTCTACTAAAAACACAAAAATTAGCCGAGTGTGGTGGTGCGTGCCTGTAATCCCAGCTATTCAGGAGGCTGAGGCACGAGAATCACTTGAACCCTGGAGGCAGAGGTTGCAGTGAGCTGAGATCATGCCACAGCCTGGGTGACATAGCAAGAGTGACACACACACACACACACACACACACACACCTGTCTCTTATACACATCTAGATGTGTATAAGAGACAGCACACACACACCCCATAATGAAATATCCCCTTAGACCTGTTTGGATGGCTGTTATCAAAAAGATAAGAGATAACAAGTAGGCAACGGTATGAAGAAAAGGGAACCCCGTACACTGTTGGTGGGAATGTAAATGAGTAAAGCCATCATAGAAAATAGTGTGGACATTTCTCAAAAAAAATTTTTTTTTTTTTTTGAGACGGAGTTTCGCTCTTGTTGCCTAGGTTGGAGTGCAATGGCGTGATCTCGGCTCACCGCAACCTCCGCCTCCCGGGTTCAAGCAATTCTCCTGCCCCAGCCTGCCAAGTAGTTGGCATTACAAGCATGCACCACCACACCTGGCTAATTTTGTATTTTTAGTAGAGATGGGGTTTCTCCATGTTGGTCAGGCTGGTCTCGGACTCCCAACCTCAGGTGATCCGCCCACCTTGACCTCCCAAAATGCTGGGATTACAGGCATGAGCCACTGTGCCCGGTCACCTCAAAAAATTAAAGACTGAACTATTATATGACCTACCAATCCCACTACTGGGTATATATATCCAAAGGAAAGGAAATTGGGCCAGGCGTGGTGGCTCACGCCTGTAATTCCAGCACTTTGGGAGGCTGAGGCAGGCGGATCACTTGAGGTCGGGAGTTTGAGACCAGCCTGGCCAACCCTGTCTCTACTAAAAATACAAAAATTAGCTGGGTGTGGTGGCATGCGCCTCTAGTCCCCACTACTTGGGAGGCTAAGGCAGGAGAATCAACTGAACCCAGGACGCGACAGTTGCAGTGAGCCGAGATCACACCACTGCATTCCAGCCTGGGCAACAGAGCGAGACTGTCTCATAACAAAACAAAACAAACAAACAAACAAAAAGCCAACAACAACAAACCCAAAGGAAAAGAAATGGGTATGTTTAAGAGAAATCTGCAGTCCTATGTTCACTGCAACATAATCAACAATAGCCAAGATAGGAAAATAACCTAAGAGTCTCTCAAAAGATGAATGAGCCAGGCCCGGTGGCTCACGCCTGTAATCCCAGCACTTTGGGAGGCCGAGGCGGGCAGATCACCTGAGGTCAGGAGTTTGAGACCAGCCTGACCAACATGGAGAAACCCCGTCT